TTTGCTGTGCATCATCCTGCAACATTTCAACTTGTATCTCCTGAAAATGTTTTAACGTGGTAGCATATTGCACATAATGGAAGACAGTTTCCGCATGTTAATTTTAGCAATGACAAAGCCATTTAGGGATTTTAGACTATTTTCTTCTTCTATGTTTCAAATTAGTAGAGAATATGAATATAGCTGTCACAGTTCTGTCCTTTAGCTGGATTTTCATGGACTTTTAGTTTGTATCCATCACTTTCCTGCTTCCTTTGTTCCAGCTTCCCACCACTCTCAGTTACCATGGACATTCATTAATAATCAAACAAATAAAAATGTGTTCATCACCATGGACTATTTAAGTTCGTCTTTGTTCACTGTTGAGTGGTCCAGTATTGTTCTTAGCATGCTGGCAATGTTTGTTGGTACTAGGCGGTCTCATGTATTTGGACTTTATGTAATAAATTGGCCTTCTGCATTCATTCACAACCATCTTAGAAATTATGTCTACTTTAAATTTTAGAAGCAAAATTACTGGTGTTACTTAAATTACATGGTTTTACACCAAGCCTTTTTGCAAAGCTAACTCCAAAAGTAACAGATGGCCTGTCTGACTCTTAGAGCAGATGAGTTTGTGTAACATATTGTTTGTGCAAATGCACTAATCATGAGCTATTATATTTATAAATAATTTATTAACCTTTGTTAATGATAGAAATGTTCACAATTGACTGATAAATGCTGAAGTAATGTTCATTGTTAGTTCATGTTAACTAATGTAGTTAATGCTAACAAATAAAAACCTTATTGTAAAGAATATGAAGCACTGTGTGTGTGTGTGTGTGTGTGTGTGTGTGTGTGTACCTACTTAACCATATTTTGGGGACAAATTTGTACCCAAAAGTGAGCTAAACCTGACAAAATCTCCAAAAACCTCCCTTTGGGGACGTCCTCATTTGTAAAACTGGTATAAAAATTAAATAAAGTAAAATAAAGTTGTTGTTTTTAAATTGTAAAAATGCAGAAAGGTTCCTGTAAGGGGTAGGTTTAGGTGTAGGGCGATAGAATATACAGTTTGTACAGTATACAAACCATTATGCTTATAGAATGTCCCCATTTAGATAGCTAAGTAAACGTGTGTGTGTGTGCATAATACAAATTGAACTAAAAACAAGCCTTACCCGATTGAGTGTTCAAAGCGAGTGTGAGTGGCTCCAGGATACACCAGATATGCTCCTCCCAGCTGTTTGATGTGTCTCAGTCTCTGAAACTGAGGAGTATCAATGATCTTCACCAGCAGCGGGTGCAGTTTAATTTGACCATGGATGGGGTCATTGAAAATCTATAGGATAGAAAATGGCAAATATTAGTGCAGTTCATTCTTCAGTGTCATGTCATGAATCTCATTAAACGCCCCCCCCCCACCACACATCTTAATTTCGTGTGGCGCATTCGCACGGGATAAGTGAAGCCTGTGATTTTACTCAAATTTACTATCTTATCTCCCGGATACGAATGTTCCTTACTGCATGTTGCTATGTGTGTCATCTATCTTCATCTAATCATTCTTTTTGTTTTCACTCTTCTGATGGTTTTCAGCTTTCTCTTTTTGCTAATTGTATAGCTGTATGGTATATTGTGACGGGGTGGTTCTAGACCCTTTAGGTGGGATTCAGCCCAGCCTATCTGTCATCTCAGCCCCCCTAAAACTATCTGAACAATTAGGCCAGTGATGCTTCCTCAAGAAAGTTTATCATTATCATGTGTTTTAAGGCTTGTCAGATTAAACATTAAAGTGGTTTAAGCCATTAAGGCACTACTCCTCCGATGAACCAACCTCTCAGGGACCCTCACTCCTCTAACACTTCGCAGCCAGTGGAGTTTGCCCAATGAACGTGCTGGACCTTCTAAAAGGAGTGTACCTGCCATATACTTCGGCATATACTTCGGATGTCGATTGCTGCGTCGGAGGACGGCTATGCTTGTCCGGGCCGCCGAGAGGGTAGGGCTGGAGTGGAGACCTCCACCGTGTCCCGAGTCCTCGGGGTTAGATGTGAGCTCGGGGCGGGTCGCGCTGGTTCTCAGCACCCCTTTTTCCCGGAGGTGCATGATGAGCTCACCAGGTCATGGACGGCACCATTTACTGCCAGATATCGCAAAGACTGAGCTTCTTGTCTTCCCTGCCACTCCAACTCTACAGTATGATTTTTCCATCCAGCTAGGTTCTTCTACAATTACCCCATCAACTTCGGTCAGAAATCTTGGTGTAACTTTTGATAACCAGCTGACCTTCAAAGACCACATTGCAAAGACCGCTCGATCTTGCAGGTTTGCATTGCACAACATCAGAAAGATCAGGCCCTTTCTAACGGAGCATGCTGCACAACTTCTTGTCCAGGCCCTTGTCATCTCTAAAGCACTGAAGGATCTGCACTAGGGTGGTCACAATCTGGCAGTTCTGAAAGAACTATGAACTGCAACTGACCTCGTGCTTCTGCTTAATGTTACACTGTCAGATATGCTAAATAAATCTATCGTATCTCTTGCTCTGGCTACTGTGTATAGACCACCAGGGCCGTATACAGATTTCCTCAAATAATTAGCAGATTTCCTCTCAGACCTATTGGTTACTGTTGATAAAGCGCTAATTGTTGGAGATTTTAACATTCACGTTGATAATACAAATGATGCTTTAGGACTTGCGTTTACTGACCTAATCAGTGTAATAAACTTTTTTGGAGTCAAGCAAAACGTCACCGGGCCCACTCATCGTTTTAATCATACGCTAGATTTATTTATATTGCATGGAATCTACAAATGACTTGCTTCTTGCGTCAGACCAAGGCTGTGTCTCATTGCTAGTTTTACTTGATCTTAGTGCTGCGTTCGACACTATAGATTATGACATACTGCATGCATTCCTGCATCATCTGTTTAGTAGTCGTAAATATGTAAAATATGGTTCAATATTGATTTGTGAGCATATCATCTTAGTGCCTTGGTATTATTGAGTATGTATATAGGATAATTTAGGGTAAAGAGAAAGCTTTATCATGATTGAATTATCAGTGTTCAATCGTTTTAATTGTGATTATGCATCAGAAAACATGAAACCATTTTATATGGGTTATTTCACTCGTTCTTCTTTTAAACATTGAGACAGTGCATGTGTCTTATCACTAAAAGTAGTATTGTAGAAGATTTTTATTGATCAAGATGTGTATTTATCAAGTATAATCGATGTGAATATAACTGTATACATATGAGTTATTCTATTATTATAGTCATGTATTTAACTATGTGTGCTCAAATATGAGGAGCTGCTAAGAGAAAACGTGATGATCTTGTGCTGACGTGATAAACTGAGACCTCTTTGTATTATTATTATGCTGACATGAGGAGATATAGACTAGCCATAATGGCCTGAATGATATGTATTGTTTATGGAAACCTATATAAAGAAGGTGCAGACACAGACTTAACAGATTGCCTGCAGAGTCTCTTGGCTTCGTTATCTCTGATAATAAAGTCTATCTTCTGGTATCAAAACCTCAAGTCTTAGATCTCACAGAAGCAGTTGAAGCCACCACAGTATTTAGTAAATATTATTGACAATATTTGTTAAAGTTAGGTGGTGCAATGCATGATAACATGACTGATAGGATTACAATGCTCGTCTTACAATATTTGTGTTCTTCTGTGAGTGCAACTATATGAACAATGTTGTCTTGAATCTGTAATAATTTAAATATTGTTATTTCGATTTCATTCAGAACCACAACTGCACAAACGTGTTTGCACAATACCACCCATTAAGTCCTGATACGTCTCTGACCAGACATCTTGTGATTTCTTACTTTCCACCAGAGCCTAGTGTTCATTACAATAATCGTTTACACTATGTAGTGATCTTTTTATTTCTTGCATTTAATAGTGACATTTGCATTTTTACCTTGCCTGAGGAAGGTTGATTGTTTTGTGACAGCTTTCCAACAGTCCCCTCTTCGTCTCCTATAAAAAAGTAGATCATTTTAGATCTTGGTGTAGGAAATATTTGATTGTGTTTCAGTGCATTTATTTTAATAAATCTAATTTTTATAATGAGTTAATGGTTGTTTTGGGATTTCATAAAAATGTAGAAAAATAACTACAACTTGCCACAGTTGTAATATAAATTCAACACTGACAAATCAACAAATAATTGATTATAAATTCCACTACAAGTTTACTACAGTCATATGTAAGTTATATGTACTTTAAAAAGTAAAAAGTTTTAAATTATACAAATTCTAGTTAATGTTAGTGCATTTCTCTATTCAGCTAGGTGCATCAACCATAACACCTTCCAGGACAGCCAGGAACCTTGTTGTTGTGATTGATGGTTGATCTCAGACCACATTGCTAAAACTGCCCGGTCCTGCAGATTTGCTTTATACAACATCAAGAAGATCAGGCCCTTTCTTTCAGAACATGCAACACAACTCCTTGTTCAAGCTCTTGTTCTGTCCAGGCTGGACTATTGCAATGCTCTCTTAGCAGGTATTCCAGCCAGTTCTATCAAACCTCTACAATTAATCCACACAGCAAAATCCCCAGTGTTAATTTAAAACTCTGAGTGTGGACTCATATAAACACTGAAGCAGAGTTAAAGTTATTGAGATAATTGAGTGATGATTGACCATTATTGAAGACACCTGATGCTAACAAACAGAATCACTAATGGAGAAAATTACAATTTCTATGTCACCATTATAGTGATCAGTGTTTGCTTTAGTTGCGATCTTGACCCTTAAATTGTTAACATTAGATTTTGTTTAGTTGCGGAAACTGAGTTATAACAGCCTGACAAATCAGAGAAAAGGGGCTCACGTGGTGTTGATTATGTTTTAAGCTGATCAACATGTAGTGACTTGTGTTAGGTTTTTATTAATGATTAAGTCAACAAGGTGAAAAATACACAATCTGGCATTTGCAGCATTTTCAGACAGATGTTTTTAAAAGTTATTTTGATTAAAAAATTAAGAGAAGACGTCTTTACACAGACATCAAGAATCAGTATGATAATCACAACAATGGTGACCATCAAAAAAGCATGTTGTAGCCAATAAAAACTCATTCATGGCTCCCATCATGCATTGCGGCATGAATAAATTATGAGCTGAGTTGTTTGTAACTTTTATTCTTACTATATTCTATTAGTTTTGCTGTTTTTATGTGACTGTTTAGTAGCTTGTTTTGTGATGTTCAGAGTTGATCTGAATATGCTGTTTGTCTCCATTGTTGAGATTCATACGCTAGTTCTTCATGTATGTGTCTGCCTAAAACTAAGATTTATTTTTATTTTTATTTAAAGCAGAACAGTTTGCAAGAAATCCTTACAAAATGTATAGAAAACACAATCTTTCACTGTGGAATCACAAAGCTGTTGTGACCAACCGAAGTAATATAACTCATAGAATAGATTCTAAATGAGTTCAGTGATTTACATCAAACAATGATTAACCATCACCACCCAATGACTTTTGCTCTTAGCTTGACTGTCTGTTATAACTCAGTTACAGCAGCTAACCAAAATTTAAAAATTAAAAAGTCAAGGGTCAAGAGCCCAACTAAAGCAAACACTGACCACTATAATGGTGACATACAAATTGTGATTTTCTCCATTAGTGATTCTGTTTGTTAACATCAGGTGTCTTCAATAATGGTCAATCATCACTCAATTAATCACCTAATTATCTCATTAACTTTAACTCTGCTTCAGTGTTACTTTTAACACTGCTTTAGTGTTTATATGAGTTCACACTCAGAGTGTTAAATTAACACTGGGGATTTTGCTGTGTAGAAATGCAGAGTTACCTGAATCAATGAACTTATTTTTCTTGCACCACTCATGGAAGCTCTCCTCTGCTTTCTGCTGGACCTCCTGATAACTGCCATCAGTTTTATTGTAGTACACCCTCACGAGATATTCATGAAACCTTTTTGGCTTGAGACTGGACACCTGTAAAACAAGAGAAACCAAACACAACCTGTTAACCAGCTTTTCTCCTACCAGGACTATGAATATAGATTCATAGTCATTCCAATTAAGAGATCAGGATTCAATCACATAATCATTGATAGTTCTGTAAATATTTGAGCTTAAGTTAGATTTCTTACCTGGTACTTCTCCATCTTGAAGGCTTTGTTTGGGTCATTCTTGCTGTAGAAATGAACATTATCGATGGGCTCTTTGCCCACTTCACCAAAACCCATGTCAAGAACCTGAATGAGAAGAAATGTCAGATGGGACAGAAAAAATTAACTATGAAAATGAAGAGGTGAAAAATGAGCTGATTGTCTTATTTTTACTATTGAAACTTACACAAATCTCAAAGTCCTCAGCTGTCAGAGACCTGTCAATCACTGTCTCCCAGTTTTTCTTCAGTTCTTCCTAAAGGTTTACAAGAATCAATCGGTCAAAAATTACACTAAATAAAAAAAAATAATAAAATAAACTATAAAATAAATGTAAGGATTTTGAAAAAAACTCACAATGTGTGTGAACATCACATAAAAAGGTGCATATTGATATAAAACAGAACAATATTTTAAACGTTCGTCTAGATATTTAGTCACCAAATAGTCATCAAAATGCACACTGTATTTCATGTTGCTTAGTTAGAGTAAGAATATCTCTGCCACACAAATTAGTGCAAAGGTAAAAAACATGCAAAAGCAGATAATAGATGCCACCCTTATAGAAAAACCACATGATAAAATTAGCATGCTCAAAACATTGACTTTGCACATGGGAAACATGGGGTTTTGGAACAGTATCATGGTGCAAATGTATGAAACTCATTTGATCACATGTGGAAAATATGAAATTCATGTTTGTTTGTTTGTTTTTTGTTGTTGTTGTTTTCTGTAAGGGTAATAATATCTTTTTGTGTGAACAAGTTTATTTGAAGAGGCTTTTTTTTTCTTGAGAAATTCATAATCATGATGATTCCGTACCATAAATGTTTGAATTGAGTGAGAATCAATATCTGATACACTTTCATCTTGGAGGCTTTATCAGGCTGCTCTTTCAATCTTGCCTTCAGTTCTTCCTAAAGGATTTAGAAGGTAACTAGTCATTTATACATGCAAATACTAGACTAAATGAAAATAAATAAATAAAAAAGCAGACACAGAGAAGAAACAATATGCAATAGATTTTATCTTCAATAACATACAGCATACATCCTGTGTGATCTGACTCTCTCTCACACTCTCATGTGATGTGCTGTCTGTATTTTGGCAGTTCACGGGAGAGATTGGCTTTATTAAAGTCCCCGAGAATGATTTAAACAGTCATCCACATATTAATTTGACACAGGAGCACAGCAAACACATGATGTAGTTGGGTGCTTATGGTCAGCATAAAATGCTCATTACATCATTCCAGCTTGTTAAGGTGTGAGTGGAGCAGTATATAAGAAACAAGAGTGTTCCAAACAGAGGAGAGAGATTGAGGCTTTCCTTTGAGATTGTCATCTTCCGGTACCAGCATTTGTTACTTTCATTGCATATGTTTTGTTACTCATGGTGGTTAAGTAAACATTAAATATATGCTGTGTGATGAATAGCACAATCCCGGGCCCAGTTATGGTGGGTCCCCTTTCTCACCACAACAGTGGATAAAGGTTTGCTACATTTTAAATGAATCTTGGTCGACTAACATAAGCAAATTGTCCAACGACATCAGATAAAGATGCAACAGCCAGACACCTCTTAGAGGGCACGAAGAAGTCCTTTGGTACAAAGCCTGGGAAGGACAGGACTTCTCATCGGTCAAAATGCAGTTTCTGCCCTACACCCACCTAGAGACAAAAATTAATTAGGACCTCCGGGATGCAGCAGCAGTGGGTGAAACAAAGAGAGATCGCACAGATCCATCCAAATCTATGTCTTGAAACCTTATAACTGATGTAAACTACAGCATATCCACGTCATACTTATTCAGAGAAATAAGTATTTTCAGTGGCAGCTATATGTAGCACAACATTTTACACAAACTCAGCCATTAATGGACGAAAGAATGCATGTATGACAGTTCAATCTATTTCCATCATGTTGGTATATAATGCATTCGTAACAGTGCCAAAAGTGTTCTGTCTGTGGTTTGGAAAGTGAATAATGCATCAGTAAAACTTTAAAGACTGTGTCCCTCTGATGCCAGCAGCCAATCACAGCACTAGAAAGGAAAAGCGCCAAATTGCAATCTCCTGCTCACTGAAAAGGGATAAAGGTACCCTTTCAACAGACAATCCTTGTTCTGAGTCGGACAGACATTTGCAACAAAGCAAGCAAACCTTCACTTCAAGGTACTTTCATCTGTGTGTTCCAGATTTTGGGACCGTTTGGTGCTCCAGGAGATCAGCATCCAACAACGCTACGTTTTCAAGGCTGTTGAAATGGATTTCTGCTCCTTTCCCCACTGCATTGTTACCAGCACAACCAGTGGAAGAAGTCAGTGCCACCGGACTGCTCACTTAACCACAGAGAACGTAAATATCACTTATCCAAACCTCTTCCAGAGACCATGGCATTATTGCTTATTATCGGTATATGATTTTCTCATTTTCATTAGATTTTAAAGCTGATTCCAGTTAAGAAGAAATAATATCTTGTTTATTTGTCTGATGCATGATACGTTTCTTCACCTTTTTAGTTTCAGTTTATCTTTTCAGAAGATAACCTAACTCCATAGTAACACCTAACTGAATCACTTACATTTTATGCATCTTATGCACTTTATTCCTTTCCCTTTTATGATGTTAATTTAGTAGTTATTGATTACTCTTGTTTATCTTTTGTTAATAACATTTATTTTATTGCACTTGTGTCTTCCTTGTGTTGATAATACAGTAAGTGGCTCTAGAACTTAACAATCTCAGCAATATTTCAGATAAATCAGTTGGCCAATTCCCTCTAGTTTGTCCTCATGTTTTGTCTGCGTTTGCTAAACGTTTTTGATGGAAAAACAGTTACCCAGTCAAATACATGAGGATATGTATTATAAATATCTATTTTTGATATCCATTATCAATATAAAGTAAATATGTTATATTTTGACATGTTTAAACAAGGTGATACCTTTAATTCATCTTCCTTCAGTCGGGCCTCTCCCACAAACTTTGGCAGCTTTCTCTCGACAATTTCTTCTAGAATACCCTTGGCTTTAACCAGATTGGGGTGTGAGTCTGACGTGTGCAGGATCTCATCAAAGACGCGATCTGTAAAAAAGAGAAGGGGAAAGGGAAATAGTCAACAGAACATTAGTACAGCATACAAACAACATACGATTTGAACATGCAGACAGACATACATACAGTAAATATAATAGTTATATAACGTGATACGTCTAGAAAAAAACAAAAAAACAATTCAAGTCTCATATCAGTTGAGGCAGGTGAATCAAAGTTAATCAGCTGACACCTCAGCTGGACCATGATGTTAATCAATAAAATTCAGACCCTTATCAAAGTTGTGTTTTTCTATTACATGGTGGATAACTGCTTTTGATGATCAATTGACAAATGATATATTTGACTTAATTGGTCCTGACTGAAAAACAGTGTATTAGCCACATTGGTAGGTCTTCTTTTATTGTTACTTTTAACAATTTTTAACTCTCTCAATTACTGACCTGTGAGTTCTGTGTACTTTGACATGTCATCTATGGCTTTTGACATCATCATCTTCTCATCAGCTTGTACGAGAGCATCTTTGATCCTAATGTACAGAAAGAAACAAGCATACACCTGTGAACAATGGCAAAATCTGGGGAAATATCAGGATGCAGCCAGAAAATAGATATATAGACATAAATATGATCTCTTTCAAACAAAACCCACTTGACATCAATGATGTAGCCGATCTTGTGCTGAAGAGCCTGACGATGAAGAGTGTATCTGGTGTGAAACATCCCATAAATGTTGTCTGCCACCTGTGAGAGACAGATTAACAGACTTGAACACAGAAGCTGTGTGTATTATTATAAAGTAAAAGGTAGTAAAAATGCCAACAATAGAACAAATTTACTTGTATTCAATACAATATTTTTTTATAATAATAATTAATTAATTCATTACATTTATATAGCGCTTTTCTAGGCACTCAAAGCGCTTATATAAAAGATAACGTTTTTAATAAAAGGTTATTGAGAATTTGAAAAAAATATATAATTCTATTTATATAACAGTTCTAGCTGGTCCTCGAATCTGATTGGCTGATAAGAGTGAGATATTAGAGCGATAACGGACCTCCTCCAACCGTTTCACTGTTCTTTTCACTCCGCTTGCTGTATTTCTCACAGCGAGTGTCACGGTGGATGCCCAAATCCACTATAATTTTAAAATACTGTTTTTGTGTCAAGGAATGTAGTTTTAAGAGTCTTTTAGGCAAGAATGTACTTGTTTACATTTCAAATATGCGATTTGTTAATAAAGATAATGTCTATTTGAAAATGTGCTTCAACGTTTTCGCAGACGTGAGCTCCAGGGCATCAGCGTCCATTCAGCACTCATGAACCCGCCGAGAGCAGCCTCACCTCGGCCAAATCTTCTGATGTCTCTAGTGAAACATATAATTTGTTTTGGGTAAATCTAACGGGCAGTCTTTGGTCTCATTAATCTATTATTTGTTTCAGAGCAAATAGTTTATATCATGTTATATTTTATGTAACTTGATGTATATCAGAATGCTGCCTTTGTACTTGATTGAATCGCCTAGCAATATGTATGATGGCTGTTGTTGTTGTTTATTAAATATTATTGTTCAATAAATAGTATTTTATATAAATAATAGTAGTGTTTAGTATTGGGAAACAGTCTGTGTGTGTGTGTGTTCGTGATGGCGATTTTTGTGACATCGTTCCGCCTTTAGATGGGGACAAGAGACTGTTTTATGAGTCAACAGTAAAGGCTTTTATATGGAAAGAGACTGAAAATGAAGTTATTTTTTACTTTTAATAACAGCTTGTAAGACACAGTAAACAAATGCACTGAGCAGCGCTGTCATCGGAAAGATGAAAGAAAGTACGACAATATCGCTTTCCTCAGCAGACATTCAAACTAATGTTTTATATGAGATTGAGCTGAAGAATGAAAGCTGTAGTCAGGCCCGTAGCCAGATATGAGGTCACCGAGGTTCGGACCTCAGTAAATTTTTCACGTTCAAAAAATAAATTTGTTCTCTGAATGACTAGTTTGCCATTTAAAACTCCTCATAGGAGTGTCTGCAAGTTTAGACAGTTTGCAAGAATGTTTAGCGTTCATAGTATGAAAATGATCGCTGTGAGACGCTTGCAGAGTGAATGAGTCTTGAGAGATCGTGAGCGAAGGCGAGGGTGCAGCCACCGTGTTGCCAGATCCAACTATTATAAGCGTTTTTTAGACTTGTCTTTTTCCACTTAATTTGACACTTTAGAAAGTTGATCAAGTGGAAAGTTGCAGATTAGAGTCAGTGATGCCTTTATCTTATTTCCAAAGATTTAGCATTTAACAGTAGCATTTAACACCAGTACAAGGATCTGTAGAACAAGTAGGTTACAGAATGAAATGGAATAGCCTTCTCAAACACTAACCATGAAGAAGTCTATGCTATTTAATTCAGTAGCCTATAGTAGTTACATTTTCACAAAGTCATGCTAAAAACATGAATAAAGAGCACTAGACAAAGTTATCATCAATGATTATTAATGAAATCTATAGCAGCGATATGTATTGTTGCATGGTTAAAAAACAACTGATACAATTATCCACCCCTAACCTAAAACACTAACAAATTTTGATGCAATGAATATGGTATCCCTCCAAAACAGAGAAAACATCTTTCACAAACGTCTACATGTCTTTTCCTTTATACGTGTTTACAGTGTATATAATTAGTTGTATTTGTAGGGGTTATTATAATAGAACAATTCTTAACCCCACCCTGGGACCTCACTCATTTTCAAACCCTGGCTACAGCCATGGATGCAGGTAATCACACTCGCTCAGTTAATCTCTCTCTCATAATACTCTACATAATACAGTGAGTTTTTTAATACAGTAATACAATAAACTTTCAGTGAAGCAATTCACCTTTCCTTCGTTACTAGTTCTAAAGTGACGTTCTCGCATTGGTAACGGATCTTGAGCTCAGCTGTTAAACTGTCAAACTGAGAGTTAAATCTGTGGCGGAAGGAAGTAGTTCTGCACAAAAGGGTTTTTTAAAGACACTCCGTTGCTGTTTTTCTTATGTAGTTACACACTCATGCCATTGAACTGTTGTATAAATGCAATATCACACTCGTAGTTGCAGAAAGGAGATCACTGTGATCATCGTGTGCTCAGCAGACATGACTGCGTTCAGCTACAGTGCAGTGCTGCAACCTTTGATGCGACATGAGTAGATCTAAATATAGTGCTATAATCAACACTTTTCGTAATAAGTTAATCTCGACAATGTAATAGTTAAGACGTAGTAAAAGTACTTAAGAGAGCTCCACATGTACAGTCATGGCCAAAAGTTTTGGCAGTGACAAATTTTGTGTTTTGCAAAGTTTGCTGCTTCAGTATTTGTAGATTATTTTTCCACATTTCTATGGTATACTGAAAAACAATGATAAGCATATATCATAAGTTTTAAAGGCTCTATTGGCAAAAATATATATATAATGAGTCAATATTTACATTGTTGACCCTTGTTCTTCATAACCTCTGCAGTTTGCTCTGGCATGCTGGACATTAGCTTCTGGGCCAAATCCTGACTGATTTACGTTTTCTAGGCTTTTATAGGCAAAAAATAAGAGTCCATATTTACAATGTTGACCCTTGTTCTTCATAACCTCTGCAGTTTGCTCTGGCATGCTGGACATTAGCTTCTGGGCCAAATCCTGACTGATGGAGATCAATTCTTGCCTTATTAGTTCTCAGAGTTGATCACAATTTCTGGGCTTCTGCTTGTCCACTCGCTCTTTGAGGACTGACCACAGGTTCTCTGTGGGATTGAGATCCAGGGAGTTGCCTGGCCACGGATCCACAATTTCAAATGTAATGATCTTCGAGCCACTTCTTTATCACTCTTGCTTTGTGACATGGTGCTCCATCATGCTGGAAAATGCACTGATCATCACCAAATTGCTCATGGATCACTGGAAGAAGTCGCTCTTGCAGGACATTTTGACACCATTCTTTATTCATGGCAGTGTTTTGGGGCATAATTATGAGAGAGCCCACTCCCTCGGTTGAAAAGCAGCCCCACACACGGATGGTCTCAGGATGCTTCACTGTTGGCACGACACAGGACTCATGGTAGCGTTCACCTTTTCTTCTTCGAACAATCGATTTTCCAGATGTCCCAAACAGTCAGTAGGGAGCTTCATCAGAGAAAATAACTTTGCATCAGTCTTCTGCTGTCCAATCCTTGTACTTCCTGCAGAATTTCAGTCTGTCCTTGACGTTTTTCTTGGAGAGAAGTGGCTTCTTTGCTGCCCTTCTAGACATCAGGCCATTGTCCAAAAGTCTTGGCCTCACTGTGCATGCAGATGCTCACAGCAGCCTGCTGCCATTCCTGAGCAAGCTCTGCACTGCTGGTGACACGATTCCATAGCTGACTCCTCAGGAGGAGATGGTCCTGGTGCTTGCTGGACACTCTGGGACGTCCTGAAGACTTCTTCACTGCAGTCGAACCTCTCTCCTTCAAGTTCTTGATGATCCGGTAAATGGTTCTTTCAGGTGCAATATTCTTTGTAGCAATTTCCTTGCATGTAAGGGCATTTTGATGCAAAGCGATGATGGCTGTGCGTGTTTCTTTGGCGGTAACCATTGCTAACAAGAACACAATGATTGGAAGCACTTCTTCCCTCCTTTTATAGCAATCAGTCTGCTCTTACAATCTAATTAGTATGATAGTGATTTCACCTGACTAGTACTCATTCAGACTTTCACATGTGCTGCTGATATGATTAGTCAATTAATGTTAGCTAGTCATTTTGTGTCAGGATCAAAAAACAGTGAAATTAGTTTTTTGTGAAATTAGTAAATTTTTTGGCCAATGAAGCTTGTAGCAATTATTTAAAATGCATCTGATCACTCTACACAATAATCTAGAAACAATGTGAATGAACACCACAACAGCTTAAGCAGCAAACTTTGCAAAACACAACATTTATGTCACTGCCAAAACTTTTGGCCATGACTTTAAGACTTATTTCATATACAAATATGTTAGCCAATCATAGCAGTGGGTATTTCAATTGAAGTCTGACAGCAGACACCCCTTATAAACAGAGCATTCAAATCAGAGGGAAACAATCAGGGCAGAAAATGGCGACTTTTAATTCTCACATTATGTCTTGTTGCAAAGAGTAGCAAAATTCCATAAAAGTGGCTGGTTTTAAGTGAAAAGTTGGTAGTGTCTTGGTGAAGAACAAAAACACAAAATCATACACATAGTGAGGGTATAAATGAAAAACTGAACTGTGAGGTACCTTGTCTCTGAAGCAGATGTGTTTCCGCTCGTTCACGTTACACACTCGAGCAGATTTCAGAAGACGCTGAGAGTCAAAACCACATGGAATGCCGAGATAATAACAATCTCTACATGTAAAATAGCAGATGAATTACAGAACGCAATAGCTGATAAAACATTAATACACTTACAATGGGCCACTTTTATTCTTAATTCACATTTATTAAACATCACTTTAAAATACAACTAACCGAGCCAAATAGTCCCATTTGTCCACATCAATGCCGTTCACTTTATTTGCCACAATCTCATACAGGAAGGATTTGTCCTCAGTCCTGCCCTTCATTGACCACTGCAAGATGGAAAATATTTTGAACTTAAAAGCTGTATTCTGATAAATGCTGAAACAGCAGCTTAAACATATTTTACCTGGCCATCCTTTTGTCCTTTCAGAATTAATTCCTCAATAAATGTGATGTCTTCAGGTAGATTCAGTCCGTAGCGTTCCATCTCTTTGTACAGTCCATTCTTCTTTCTCATGCAGCGAAACATGTCAACAGATGCCTGCTCATGCTTCAGAAGAACAACATAAATACTCAGCAGTACAATTAAAGTGTACACATTAACTACTAGTGATGTCTATTGATTAAAATATTAATTAATCACACGTTTTTTTTCTGTAATTAATCGCATATTAATAATGTATTTATATTGTCATAATTTCAGATTGAATCTCCAAATTAATATAGAGACATCATAAACAAGGTATAGTTTAAATATATGTAATGGCATATTTTTACTAATTAGCCTATTATTAATTAAGACCAGTATCATTGATACCTAGTATATTTTTAACTAGTTAACTTGAAAATGTAACTTTTTCTTTATTAAATTAAAGAAAATGATATTCCAAGTGCACCACACATGAACTATATGTTAAACAAATCACTTGTTAAATTTATTTGCAGAAAAGATGCATGGACTAAAACTACATTGTGTACAAACTTATTATAAATATAATTATTTATTATGCATATTATATGTTCAGAAATTATGCAAGGTTAATGTTTTTAAATAATTCTCAAAAGTCAAGGTAATTAAAATTCAAAATGATTGAAGGTATAACACCAGCAGACTATTATTAACTATAAATGTTCTGTTAAAAACAATGAACAGCAGCTTTCACCATCATACGAACATGAAATATCAGACATAAAGTAGTAGTTCTTTACAGGTTTTTTTTATTGATTGCTGCTTTTCCATAGTTTTTTCTGTGTAAATATTGACGCGTTTGACTGTTGTGCTCGTGTCTCTTGCAGCGTCTCATGCATGAAACGGCTTTCTAAAAATGTGGCGCTTAAGATAAGAAGTTCAACTCCCATCTTCTTGCATTTTTTTCCTATTCAGCTGCCCGCATCACATCTGTGTCTACACAAAAGTGCATTCTGTATGAAATTACTAGCTATTCTACTTGCGGTCCTTCACAGAGTGTCACATGTGAGCGGTTAATCACGTGTGCCGATATACAGATGGATAATTATTTTCTCTTTACTCTTATCATTGGCATATTATCAAAGTGTCTAATTGTAACCTTTGGTAATATTTCTATTCAAAATCGTGATTCCTCTATTTATAAAATAATAAAATCGTGACAAAACATTAAAATCAAATTAATCGATTAAATCGGAAAAATCGCCCAGCCCTATATCAATGACAGGCTGCAGCAGGTTTCACTTTAAAAGTAGCAAAACCTGACGCACATCCGATTTTCTTCCAACTCTTTACAGTCATTTGGGACTTTTTAACTCATTTAAGACCAAAAATGGGAATTTTGACATAAGTGTGTGTGTTTTTGTCTGTTGAAGCGTGTTAAGGCTAGAAGGGATACCGCTGTGGCTACTGGGCACGTGCACATCAATATAGCATAATTTGTGTCCCGCTTAACAACAATAATTGCTGTATTTGCATTATTGTAACAAAAATATAATTTATTGTTAACTTCCGGCCTTAGCTGTATCCCTTCTAGCCACAACCGTTTGAAGCGCTGCTGTCTGAAGTGGCTTTCTTTGCGCGTGCCACAGAGAGCTTCTTCACAGACATTTCACCACTACCAAATAAACTTCTCGTTTGCGCCTTATTGTGCTTGATAGTGTGTTCATGTAGTATGGGGGTAGAATTGTTGCTTTGTTCCAAATAAATAGATTATGATCCACAAATAAATGTAAAGAGATTAACACAAACTAAACATATTGACGAATAAATAGAATGAGATCCACAAGTAAATCTTAGAGTCTCACAAACATGAAATAAATTCACAAATAAATAAAATGAGATTTGCAAATAAAAAAAACATATTCACAAATATATTTTTTATGTCACAAACACAACTTTGCCTGGCATTCATTTGTGAATAGCATCCTGTGCATTTGTAGATCGCTGCACCCATTTGTGGATCGCTCGCTGTGCATTAGTGGATTTTGAAACATTTCTAGCATTGAGATGCATACCAATCCACAAATATGTGGACTCCACCCACCATCTACTCAAACCAATCAGATAATAATGACAAGAGGTGCGTTCGACTTGAAGCACCGCTACAGACGGCAGTCAACGAGAGCAGCCGCTTACAGTCGGGGGCGGAGTTGAAAACGGAGCCGTCAAGCCGGACACTTTCTGCTCCCGTTAGTGACGCTCGCGCAGTGTTTCCAATCTCTATCACTGATGAAGTGAATTAAATGCAATATTTGTCAAATACACAGACGTTTCAGAAACGTTTTCAACTTTATGAGGTTTTTTAACATTAATATGAGTTCTCCTAGCCTGCCTATGGTCCCCCAGTGGCTAGAAATGGCGATAGGTGTAAACCGAGCCCTGGGTATCCTGCTTTGCCTTTGAGAAAATGAAAGCTCAGATGGCCCAATCTGGAATCTTCCCTTTATGTCGTCATACGGGGAAAGGTTACCTCCCCTTTCTCTGCTTTGCCCGCCCAGAGAATTTGGCCCCCCCCATGAGAAAATGAGCTACTACCGTGTGAGGCAAGCTCAATATTTTTTTTTCCTCGAGACATCATGGCTTGCAAACGAGCGAAGCACGGCAGTTGCCCCGCCTCTCTCCTCCTCATTAGCATTAAAGCTACAGACACAGAAATGGCACATCCTAAGGAAAGCTCATTGTAGGACTGGCTCGTAGTGGCTGAAATTCTGCACCAAGGCTGAATTTCGGGAAAGAGACTTCAGATACAGTACTAGGGACCACTTAGGCCTATATAAAAGCATCTAAAAAGCAGCATGTCATGGGACCTTTAAGAAACTGCGCCAGCTGAGTTGGCCGGCTGCTCTCGAAACGATATCGCGGTACTTTGATGCCACACGTGACTATGACGTGGCGTCGGCGCCGGTTCAAGTCGGACTAAATTTCTAACCGGCATGCACTGCTTCAAGTCAGCCACTGATCGTGTTGCGCTGCGCCGCATGAAGTCGAACGCACCTAAAATTATTTTAGCACAATAAAACTCACAATAAAAATATTAGCACAATAAAAGCGCACATTGTTTTCCAAATATCTCTTTTCCAAAGAGATATTGATTAACTTAATTTTGATCACTGTTAATGTTAGAATGTCCACTAATGTGTTTATTTACAAAAAGGCATGAGTGTAGAAAAAGAGGCCATATTATTTGTATCTACTTTTTCATAAAACTGCAATTTAAATATATTATTTCTATAGGCTATACAAAAAAGGACAAAATAAATAGGCTGAATAAACTGATCTATAGCATGTTAAAAGGTGGTAGCCTAGTCTATGAATGGTACACCCCCCTAAGCTCACAGAAATGGTTTGACCCACGTCTTCAGCAGCCAATGACACTGACCCGTTCAAACTGATTTTTAACATGTATTTCACACGTGTTTAACACGTTATATATGTGTTGAATAGGCGCATTTAATGCGCTGATTTTTCACGCGCAATCAACATGTGTTGTTGACGTGTTAAAATTCACGTGTTTTTGTCCCTTTTGCCCTTCCATAGGCCTTCCTTCTACATGCTTTGTAGCACACTGACTTTGAAATACATGTGTATTATCATGTATTTATATCTGTATAGGAGAGTTATGATGCTTACCGTCCAAGGCTTACCTGAAAAATAAAATTAGATTTTAGGCATTACATAAGGCAGGTTTAATAAAGTGCAATTGTCTAATAAGATTTTATAAGGTTTAATAAGAGTCAGTATACATTTGTTGGTCTCCATCACACACACACACACACAAACTATTACATTGTTTTAATAAGGACCACAACAATTTTTGAGCAATGTTATTAACTTATTGTTAAATCCTGATTAAATAATTGTAATTTGTAAATAATGGATATGATGTGTTTCACTGGCATTCAGGTTACAAAAAAAATGTGAGGCGGTATTGAATCTCTAATGATGCGACTGTATGTTTTATATGTACAATAAATGTAATTTAAGCTCCATCTTTCTTTCAGTTAGATACATTACTCTATATATTTGCCTTGCTTGTGGTTCAGCATTAAATTAATTTATTTAAACATTTAACAGCTAAATATGAATTAGTGCTTGCTTATACGGTATGCAAAGCTGAAATTACTGAAGTAAGAAAACTCAGACACTTACCAGGCCGGACTTCAGGGATGAACATGGCATCAAACAAATGAGAGAAGGGACCATGACCTGAAAGGACAAGGTAACATGCTTTTATTATATATAAATAACTTTTAGAATTTACTTTTAATAATTTACTTTTTCATTGATAAGTTACTTTTGTATAAGTTCAATTAGGAAACTCATTCTTCCAAATTTAGCTTCAGAGACAGCCAGGACATTATTCTGAGATTTAGACTGACAAAAAAATGCAAAACAGAAATTAATTATATATATATTAGTAGAAAAAAAAAACATAAAAACCTTCAAAGAGACCTCAACACACATTCAAAAAGCCAAGCACACAATCCACAATCTCTGTCGGTTGAAAATTATGTTGTAGAGATTGTATACAGTCAGTGGCATATAGGAAGTGACCGTGAGAAAGAAAAAAGTTGACACTGTGCAATTGTTTCCGCATTGTTCATTTGTAGACTATGAGAAAAACAAAATGTACAAATTTTGCTTATTTTGGTGTGTTTGAAAAACTAAATAATGTAGGTGATCGGGCTCCCCAGAGAACATCGTTCTAGGTCCCTGTCAACCTCTGAGCCCATATGCACTCTGTGCCCCTCCCAGCCAACCTATCAAATATATATTTGAAACAACATATAAAGAAATAGCAATGAAATACACACCTGTGTGCTTTTTTTCCAATATAAGTTTTTTTTTACATTATTAAATATTTTCTTTGTAAATATGCACATGAATTTGTTCCTCACCCATGTCATGGCACAGGGCAGCGATCTGAACACACAGGAAATCCTGTTTGGTGATGTTGAGTTCTGGCTGATTCTCATGTAGAGTCTTGAGAAGACATCCTGCTAAATGTGCCACACTAACACACACAAAAATAATCAGTTTATTTCAAGGAAAAATTAAGCAAAGGTCCAGCCTCGAAAAAGAGGAAAAAGTTACCCAAGAGAGTGTTCAAAGCGAGTGTGAGTGGCGCCCGGATACACCAGATATTTTGTTCCCAGTTGTTTAATGTACCGGAGTCTCTGAAACTGAGGAGTGTCGATGATCTTCACCAGCAGCGGGTGCAGCTCAATCTGACCATGAATGGGGTCATTGAAGGTCTGCAGGACAGAAAAACGGTTTATAGAAACTGACCTAGAGAAAACCGTCCGAAGCAGAAAGCAAAAGGATACAATCTGAAGTTACTTCGCAAAAATAACAACACATTTAAATGTGACATTTATTATGTGGCTTGTGTGAAGTTCTTAGTTTAATTATAGCCTGATTTTAATTGCTGTTTAAAATATCTATCTTGAAACAAGATGGTTTAAATTTTAAAGACTACAATTCTTTAACTGAGAATTTGTATTTGGAAATGAAATCAGCGATAAACTTTGACAATAAATGGTATCAGTTCAAAAATAAAAAATAAAAATATTAATTGCTGTACAACAAAAATGATGATTGTTGTTTGCATTGTATATTTTATTAGGTCTTATTGTACGCTAGTGTTAAAAGTGAAAGATACTGGTTTATCCGTGACTGCAATACTTTAGGCGGGATTCTGATCCCATAGTAGGCTATCAGTTACGTTCATGTGTGATGTGTGATAGCCCAAGTCAATCTCTGATCCAACCACGTAATCAAAGCTGGCAGTTAAACATGTAGGCTATTCATCATTTTAATGAAATGGGATGATTTATGTTTGCAATAGGCTAAATTTACTATATACATGAAACTTTCTTCTTTCCATTTTGATGCTTCACTTGCCTTCCTGATGTCCTTTGAAAAGTCTAGGCAGTATTTCTCTCTGACGTTTTCCAAATCCTCAGTGATTTTTGTCTGTCTTTTCTCTGCGGAGAGATTTTTTTTTTAGAAATACTTTCGTTAGAAATATTTTGTTTCAGCTTAAAGAAAAAAATCAATAAATTCACAGTCTATGTTATATTCTACAGTACAGCAAGCCACGCAGTACTAGCGAGGGTTCACAAGTGATCGTTTTTAATACAAAATACATTTTAGAATGAGAAAGGTTCCCATATGTTCACTTCATTAAACTAATTGTATGCACTTACTTTTTCTTAAGTTCATCTAAATTTTGGCATAATTATTAAAATGTTTTAGCACGACTAATTTTTCTAATGCTACAAACATTACAGCTTACATTCTCTTGAACTAGATAATTAAACTGCAGTAGTCGGTAACCTATGGTGCTTGTGTGACCTTTACTGACACCAAGCCACTGGATGTGCGAGGAGACGCTGAATGTGTTCTCGCGTATTTGTCTTTAGCTTTAAGAACAAAAGTTACCGCTACCCGATATTTTCATCTCTGTATACATGGTCATAATGCGCATATGCGTAGCCTACAGAAACATAATGGAAACGCTTTTAAATAAATGAATAAACTAAATAAAGAAGCTTTGCGTAATATGTAGGGGTCCGTGTACGTTTTGATCATTTAATCTCCTGTTTGGAATGCAATAACGAGAAATGGAAAAACGGCTCGTTTATTAGTTTTTCCGTTTAGTTTAACAAACGGAAAATGAGATTTTGTCTCGAGAGGTAGGTGTGTGTGACATGAATAAATAATTGTGAAAATTATTAAAGTTAAATTCATGAAATAAATTAGAAATAAAGTTTACATTTATGAATGTAAGCATGTGTAGCCAACTCAGTTCAAAAGAAAAGAATGAGATAGAAAAGAGAGAAGGTAGAATTAGTGAACGCACCTTAATACTGACAAAAAAAATAACAGGGTTAAGGTCAAATAAAATCTCTATTTTTCATGACTTAGAATTGTATTAGTTTTATTACATATAAATTGGTTGATGTTTCAAGCAATGTCTTCAGGATCAGTAGCAATGTCCATTCATGTCACACACACCTACCTAGTGCCTTTTGACTTAAATAAAAGACGAGAGTGGTAAATGTTACGGACATATTAGTTCACTAATTCTAGCTTCTCTCTTTTCTATCTCATTCTTTTCTTTTGAACTGAGTTGGCTACACATGCTTACATTCATAAATTTAAACTTTATTTCTAATTTATTTCATGAATTTAACTTTATTAATTTTCACAATTATTTATTCATGTCACACACACCTACCTAGTGCCTTTTGACTTAAATAAAAGACGAGAGTGGTAAATGTTACAGACATATTATCATCATGGAACTGTTCAGTCTATTATTGATTTTTATTTTCACTTCTATCCAAAGAGACGGAACTATTTGCACTGTATTTATCAATGAAACAAAAAATGAAAAATGGAGCCAAAATCGAATTTTCCGTTTGTTAAACTAAACGGGAAAAGTAATAAACGAGCCGTTTTTCCATTTCTCGTTATTGCATTCCAAATAGGAGATTAAATGATCAAAACGTACACGAATCCGTGTATCATTCGATCATTCGTTTTTTTATTTAATATTGAAAGTAGAAAAATTAGAAAACGGCTCCTATTTCGTTTTTTCATTTTTCTCCAAAAAACGAGAAACGAGAATTCATCTTAAATTTTCGTTTTTCGTTCATTGGTGGAAAAATGGCTGACCAATCAGCAGAAAGGGGCGTTTAATTCCCGCCCACGTGTAGAAATCGAATATTCAAGCTGTTTATTCATTTTTCCACCCATGAATGAAAAACGACAATTTAAGCTGAATTCTCGTTTATCGGAAAAAAAAACAAAAAAACGAAAAAGGAGCCGTTTTCTCATTTTTCTATTTTCAATATTAAATCAAAAAACGAATGATCGAATGATACACGGATTATTACGGACCCCTCACGGCTCAGATTTGGTTGACCAATTGTCGAAAAGGGGCGTGTCATGACAGCCCACAAGGGGAAAACGAATTTTGAAGTCCTTTATCCCTTCTCTACCCGTGAACCCAAAAATAAATAAATTTAAAAAAAAAAATTCTAACCAAAATCGTTTTTTTTTTCGTTTTTCTGAACAAATGAAAAAACGAAAAAACTACCGTTTTCTCGTTTCTGCTTATTTCATTTTAAACTGAAAAACAAACTATCAAAACGTACACAGACCAGGGGTATTGCCCAATGATAAACTAAGAGAAAAAATGCCACAAAAAGTTTACTCACAACTGTTATTGCAGTCTTCAAATTGGGTTATACTGATTTTTTTTTAATTACAATTTATTTATGTTTTATTTGTTTATTTTCACTGTAATTTTAGTTCAATAAAATTGCATTTGTGTAAAAAAAGAAGTGTACATTTAAAGTGAAAACATTACCTTCGTTTTTCTTGTAAACCCCTTTTATGTCAAACATAATTTCTTCAATAGTTGTTGTGTCTTCAGACATTTTCACTTTTCTCTCAGTGATCTGTTGTTGTCTTTATTGTGTCGTTGGAAATGAGGATGATGGTAATGATCTGTACTGTGTAGAGATTTTATAGAGTCAGAGACTCAACCCACTAGATTACGCTGTTAGCTTCTTGTCATTAACATATGAGGGTGTGTCTAAAGACCGGTGACTTTCATCATCTTTTAGATGCTTCAGTTAAAGGCCAAGAGCATGGAAATGAGGACGTGTGCTAGTTGATAAAGGATAAAGTTCCACAGACCTTATAAAGTGTATTGGATGGCATCCTAATAACAAAATGCAATTTTAAATAAGCAAAATATAGTACAGTAGT